ATAAGCATTATACATAAATATATATATTGACACATATAAGCTATATATGTATGGATACACACATATATATAAGGTATCCCAAAAATGTTTGCTCATACTTCAAATGATTTTAAAGGCAGTGTTTATTAAAATACATTTCACTTTCAAAATTGAACTATCAGCTGTTAAAGTGTATATACATTTTTGGGGGGGGGCACCCTGTGTATGTGTATACAATATTTTTAGATTTTTTTTCACCTTATTTGGGGACTTATTTGTATGAATGGAAGGTTCCTAATTTAAATTTCATGGGCAAAGCCAAATTTTACAAACTAGCCCCTTATCACTTGTCTCCTACAACATACATAGTAGAGAGGTCTGGCCTTTACAGCAAAATAGTAAGTATTGATTATTGGGTAGATCAGTGGACCCAAGAACTAATACAAACCCTCATTGCTCCCAGGGATATTTTATATATACAAGCATAGCCAATCAATTTTCCAACTATTTCGAGTTCCCATTGCTTTTTACAATTGTTTAGAAAGCACTTACCATGTGTATATTGCACACAGTAAGAAGAACACAGGAGCACAGAACAGTCTCCTAGCTAACATCTGCATACTTTGTGTTAGGAGAAGAGAATATTCCTTCCAGGCTTTTTAATCCCCAGAGCCCCAAAGAAAGCCCAGTACATAGACATGGCAATGAATCAACGCATAACTCTTTGATCTCAAAGATCTCACGGTGCAGTTGAATAGGCAACATATATCTATACAGAAAGCCAAATAACTTCCCTTTAACAGCAGTTCAAGTGGTAGAGAGACAATAGGTGATGTGGAGCTAAATTAGAAGTATAGGAAGTAAAAGCTGGGCAGGTAAGAAATTTGCGGGGCGGGGGAAGTTAAAACAAGGGATTCCTGGCCCTAGCTGGTTTGGCTCAGTGGCTAGATTGTCTGCCTGCAGACTGAAGGATCCCAGGTTCGATTCCGGTCAAGGGCACATGCCCAGGTTGCAGGCTTGATCCCCAGTAGGGGGCATGCAGGAGGCAGCCAATCCATGATTCTCTCTCATCATTGATGTTTCTCTCTCTCTCCCTTTCCCTTCCTCTCAGAAATTAATAAAAAATATATTTAAAAAGAAAGAATTAGTAAACACATTTTTTGACCAGGAAGAAGAAATAGAAAGACAAAATCTCTAAATATGGACCTGACTGATGATACATTTTGGTATATAACTGGTATATGCTACCACTATCCCAAATTGACCAGTTATATTGCAGATAGCTGCATTTCAGACAGACAGATTAAATCAGTACCTTGAAAAATGGATGTTTTGTATGCAAATCAAGTATTTAACTACACTGTTTATTGTCCTTATGTGTAAGCCAAGATCCTTCTTCCTTTTGTGGGTACTTTTAGTTTTCATAATAAGTTCCTACATTTACTTGCGTACGACAATATAAAATGTGCATATCACATATTTGCCTCAGGACACATATGGTTCAACATGGGAATGAGAAAACTCTTTGGAGAACATTCACAGTGATACATCTGACAAGGGGTAAATATCCAATATTGCTAAGGAGCTTTAAAACTTAACACCAAACACTCCAATTAAAAAATGGGCAAAGAGCCCTAGCCAACTTGGCACAGCGGTATCAACCTATGAACCAGGAGGTCACGGTTCAATTCCTGGTTGGGGCACATGTGATCATGATCCCCAGTGTGGGGCATGCAGGAAGCAGCGATCATGACCCCCAGTGTGGGGCATGCAGGAGGCAGCCATTCAATGATTCTCTCTCACCATTGATGTTTCTATCTCTCTCTCCCTCTCCCTTTCTCTCTGAAATCAATAAAATGATATATTTTTTAAAAAATAAAAAAGGTATTTTTCAATAGAGGGAAGGGAGAGACAGGGATAGTATTAAAGAGATATCTGTGCCCCAATTTATTTTCAGTGACAAAATACTTGTGTCAAACCTCAAAACTGACCAAGACATGCAACTGAGCACAACCTCTATGCCGACCTGAGGTGGAGTGTGGGGCTGGGGGGAGGATAAGGGGGGATGAGAAAGGGAAGGACTTACATCCCCATTCCTAGGTGGGATGGTCAGTTCCATGTACCCGTGAGGAATGTACTGCTGACTGTAATCAAAGCGGGGTTTCTTCATGAGTTGACCTCTGACCGTTGAATAGGCTCCATCACAGCCTACAATGAGGTCATAGGTGACATCTTTGGGAACTTGGTCAGATCTGAAAAATAAAATGAACCATCGAAAAACAAACAAACAAGGCAGCTAGTGAGTGGGCCTACTCCTCACTTCTACACACCTGACCTCCAGCTCTGAGTTGATAGCTATGCAATGAAGACGATAGCACGTACCCTGAGGACAGGTTTTCCTCTGAGAACGAGGATAACACACAGCCATACCGAGGAAGAAAGGCACGCGAGACCGTGGAAGTGGGCCTGAGAGTTGAGTTCCCTGCATGAAGGGAGAGGATCTCGAAAAGAAGGCAAAGCATTCCAAGTGGAGGGGATGTATGAGCCACTGCAGGGGTGTGAGCAGGGCTTTTCGGGAGCAATACATTGGGCTTGACAAAAGGGTAGCAGGAAAAAAATAGCCTAAGAAAAGAATACAGTGTGGGGAGGGGAAAAAGGGAGGAGAGACTCCTATAAAATAAAAGCGAAGTAGGCAAATTGTCCCCTCGACCGGGAGGTCATCCAGGAGTTTGACCAGGGAGCGGGGCTGGCCAGGGGAAGGGAGGGAGTACCCGACCAGCAGCTGGCAGCCACTAGGGGCCCTACCAGTGCACAGATTTTGTGCACTGGGCCTCTAGTTTCGAATGTTCGGACAAAAGATTTCAATACATTATCCTGGCCAAAGGGAAAAATCGCACTCGCAGGGGTTGCGTTGAAGTGGAGGCAGAATGTAGAAGAGAAGGGGAATGGGACCAGGTAAGCAAAGCAGCTTCCTGTGCAGGTGTGACAGCCAAGCACTGTGGTGTTCAGGAAGAAGGCATAGACTCTGAGGCCAGTAGAAAAGTTAGAAAAAAATGGGGAAAGGGGCCTGGCCGGTGTGGCTCAGTGGCTGAGCATCAACCTATGAACCAGGAGATCATCATTCAATTCCCGGTCAGGGCACATGCCTGGGGCTGCGGGCTCGGTC